AACAGAAACATTCATCTATAAAATAATAATTGATCAGAAACATTCATGTATAAAATAATAATTAACAGCAACATTCATGTGTAAAATAATAATTAACATTATTTATCTGAGGAGCAGCTTTGAGTTTAACTCCATCACTGAACTCTCATCTTGAACAAGCATGAAGGCGACAGTGGAAAGAAAAACTCCCTCATGAGGAAGAAACCTTTAGCAGAACCAGGACCAGGACAAGAGGACCATCTGCTTCGACCGGCTGGGTTTGGTAGGAATAGATACACAATGGCAGGTCAAGAATCATGTTAAGATAGAAATAGTATCAAATGAAAACTATTCAGTTTTAACAATTCATTTAAGGACATGAGGTCAGTTTGTCCTCTAGTAGTCTAAGTCTATAGCAGCATAACAAGCCGACCCTAACTATAGGATTTATCAAGAAGGAAAGTCTTAATCCCAGTCTTAAACTGGACAATGTGTCAGCCTCATGGACAGAAACTGGAAGTTGGTTCCACAAGAGAGGAGCCTGAGAACTGGAAGATCTTCCTCCCATTCTGCTGCTGGAAACTCTAGGAACCACAAGTAAACCTGCAGTCTGAGAGTGAAGTGCTCTGTTAGTAAAATATGGAACAATAAGATCTGTAATATAAGATGGAGCTAGGTTGTTGAGAGCTTTGCAGGTTAGAAGTAAGATTTTGAATTCTATTCTGGATTTGACAGGGAGCCAATGGAGAGAAGCTAAAACTGGAGAGAGATGATCTCTCCCAGTAACTCCAGTTAAGACTCTGGCAGCAGCATTTTGGATCAACTGAAGACGTTTTAAAGAAGTATTTGGACACCCAGATAATAAACCATTGCAATAGTCCAGTCTAGATGTGACAAATGCATAGAAGCACTGTTTCGACTGGGTTTTTGGTGGGTAATGAAGAAGCAGCAGAGAAGTGTGGAAGACTACACCTCTGCCTCCTGGACCGATTTCTGTACTGGACCGTTATTTGTCAATAATCTGGATGTTCAACTGGATCAGATAAGTTTTTAGAGAGAAGTGCTGCTCCATTGAAGGCGGGATGGATTCCATCTCTCTGCATCAAACCGGGTTTCCCCAAAATGCACTCCAGTTATGAAGAATTCAGAAAAAATAAAACTTTATTTTTCTTTCACAAGATGCAAAATATTGACAAGATTTGATCCAGAACCAAAAACCAGGTTTTATCTGTTCCAGGCTCCCAGTCTGGTCTCTCAGGGGACTCAGGACTCCGGGTTGGAGCTTCAGTACTTCAGTTCTCTTGACTGGAGGCGACAGCGGGCCGGACCTCCAGAGGGGGAGTGCGTGTGTTCAGATCCTGCAGAGTCCAGAGGGGCGGGGCCTGACCCTCTGACACCCCCACTGGGCCCTGCCCAGCTGCTCTGCACCTGCCCAGCAGGGGGCGCTGCTCTGCACTGCAACATCCCCGAGCACAGCGCAAAGGTGAGTGTGTGCCACCTGCTAGAACTGCTGGAGAACATCTGGAACCAGTAGCTAAAATGAGCTGGACTGAGGCTAAAACCAGTTGAACAAGTGGCTAAAATTAATCAAACTAGCTATAAGCCAAAACAAACAGAATGGTAGCTAAAAATGCAAAGAAGTAAAATGATGGCTAAAAGCCAGATTTAGCTAAAAGTATAAAAATTAATAAAAGCAAAAGTTCCAGCAGTAATCTGCTGAATGAGCCGAACATTTTGATTTACAAACAGCTAAAATGTCAAAGTCTGTGGAAGTGGTGAGATTCAAGAGATTAAAACTGCAAAAACTCACAACTTTTATTTTGAAATTTGTAGAAAAGATGAATCAGAAAACTGATGCTGTTAAACCAGCTGATTAACACTGTGTGTGTGTGTGTGTGCGCGCTCGCGTGTGTGTTAAAGTGTGTGCACGCAAAGCGACTGGAAGAGGAGAAGGGGATGGACACCAAACAGCTCAGAGTCAAACTCAGACGAGTCCGGTAACAAACAAACACACACACACACACGTGTTCACTGCTTCGTCACTGATCTGCAGCAGTCTGAAAATAACTTTAAAGCTCTAAAAGAATACAACATGTCCCCACAACATGTCCCCAAGCAGAAGACAGACGTCCAGTCAGCTGCTGAGGACGTATTTTTAACACTTTGAATCCGCACGGAACCAGCGGGAACGCCACGCGTTCCTTTTTTCAACTCGACCCGGTTGTCGACACCGCTAGTCCTGCATCGTAGCCAGAGCTCGAGACGTTTTTGAATCCTTCAATATATTCCAAGTTGATCTCGTCTCGAGGACGTCGTCTTCTTTAGATTGACGTGGACAAAAGCACCGGAGGCGTCCGTCAAGCCTGCAGTCTGCTGCATCCAGGACTTTGAAGATTCCCCACAATTCTCGTGACGTCATCCCTGATCAATGCTACTTTACTCAGAGCCAATCAGGTCTAAGTATTAATTAGGCTCCGCCCCCTCATTGTAGTGTGTTTTTGTTTTCAGGTGTGTGACTCAGGTGTGTGACGAGGTGGAGTGCCTGGAGAAAACTCTGCTGAAGAGACGAGCTGAGCTTCGTCACGCCGACAGGCTGCTGCTGGAGGCCCAGAGCAGCCGGCAGGCTGCCAGGGGACAGGTAAACAAACAAACAAACAGTCGGGGGACAGGTAAACAAACAAACAGCCAGGGGACTGGTAAACAAACAAACAGTCGGGGGACAGGTAAACAAACAAACAGCCGGGGGACAGGTAAACAAACAAACAGCCAGGGAACAGATAAACAGCCAG